GCTCAGCGGGCCACGGTAAAATTATCAAAGGCTGACTGGTCCGCGGCGATAAAAAGGTTGGACCACTCCCTTAGATAACCGGTACATTTATTACTGACTGGAAACTCTTTATGGACTTTTTGTGGAAAATGGAAAAAAATGAATTGGTGATTTATGGATCTCATGATTAGAAAGTGTAAAATGTGGAAAGAATGGAATCATAATGTAACTTTAGAATGGGATAGATGATAAATGTATTTGTAACTGTTGTAAAAGGAGATTAGGAGCTGCTTCTTTATTTTTTTATTTTCATTATTTATCATTTTTGTTTAACATTTTCTCTTTTTCTTCAATCTATATTGTTTTTCCTGTTGCATAAAATTTTTCAATGGAAATGCTGAAGATAGTTACATTTATACTAAGGGGGAAAAAGTTGTCCTAGAGACTTTGATTTTTTTCAGAGACAACACATGAACAAATACTGAAATTAACACCATTAAGCACATGAATCCATTTAAGATCAGGGTTTTTTGGAGGGGGACACCTGCAGTCTGATATTTCTGTATAAAATTAAGTATATACAAAATAAGCATATTTACTAAACTTTTTTCTGATGTTATGTTTTTGATTAAACTGTAGAAGTATAGGAAACAACTGTTTTGCTTCAAAACCAAATAAATAACATCAAATATGTCGATCAACTCAAAGTCAATTCTTGATAATTATCTACTGCAGTACTGCAACAGGTTTTTAACTATGCTTTTCCAAAATAGAACTTGGATTCATTCTTTCAAAGTTTACACAAAGTAAGTTCCATTTAATTAATAGAATTTAAGAAGTCATTCTTCATAGGACAAAACTTTAAATTTAACCTCTAACCTCTTACCTTAAGTCACTGTTTACTTACTTTTCGAGCAGGAGCAGTAGTAAAAATGTTATGTTCTGGCGGTGGTATTTGTTCTGTGATGAGAATTCTGGATTCATGATTGGAATGGTTTGCAATAGACTCTTCTTTGCTCTCTAAGAAGATGGGAAGCAGAGGATGAAAGATCTGCAGACATTCTACAATAATTCTAGATTTAACTGAGCAATGTGTTCTGGGCATTCTAATCCCATTCTTTTGAAGTGCTGCAGTTAAACATACCAGTATATGTCCATTTGAGTTACTGTATGTTAATCAGTATATATTTAAAAAGCCTTTGTCCTATAGTCTGAATAAAATGTTGCCAATGTGGACCAGTAATTTTCTAAACTACCTACTGATTTTCCACACATTATTTTAGAAAGGGCTACAAAAGCCAAGGAACTAATAAATTCATTCATTCAGTCTGAAGACCTTTGGCCCCAAATTTAAATAAATACGAAAGTACTTTAATGTAGGTCATGATTGAATTATCAAATAATTGTTGTGCTTGAATTTATGATTAAAAAATAGTTTGAAACTGGTTCCGAGATTTATACATGAATGAAAAGGCAACTTTTTTTGTGCGGATGCTGCACTTTGTTCCAGTCTATTTTAGACTGAACTTTATCTTTAAAAGAAATTTTCATCAGGCCTTTAGAAAGAGCTAAACATTAAGTACTAAGGAAATATTAAGTCAAATTTTAGTACATTTCATAAGATGGCAATAAATGATAAGAACATTGTCAAACACCAATTTCTGGGAATGCAGAAGGCTTTGATAAGAGATGAAGGCAAAATTGTATAAATCTGAATACCAGACATGGTTATACATGCATCCTCCTGTCTACGTACCCCCTCAAAAACCCCACAAACTGCACATCTTGCAAAATATTATTAAGGCCTTTGTACAAAAAGTACTGTTTTAGAAGATGCACATAAAATGTGAATGCCCATATGAAGCTGCAAGAAGTTCTAGCATGCATGCATTTATAATGCTGTATATCTGAAAGTTGGTATCAACAATATTGGCCAGCCAGATACTGCTTGAAGCTACTTGAAAAGGGACCCCAAGAATTAAGTGAAACTTACATTTCTTTTATTAAAAGAATAACTCAGTAGAATTTGCTCTGTAGAAGCAAATAATTTTCCAAGGTGACAAATAGCACCAACATTTCCCAAGCTTATGCATGTTCAAATTAGGAGTTCAGAGATGGAACTGATAAATTATGTATATCCATACCATAGGTTTTTGCCCTTAATTCTGTATTCTGAGTAATTACTTGTTTTGATGCTACAATTAATAATACAAAATCCTAATATAATGCTGCACTGCAGCAATATATCTTGTGCAGTCTTCCAATTTTTAATCTAGAAAAATATGTAGTTAGAAGTCTCCTAAATTTATGCAGCAACACCATGTGCATTCAAAATGTATCTAATGTATCTAAGAAAAGCAACGGAAGAGGTGTAATTTTTCAGGAAAAAAAACCCCACTGCTGTAAGCAGTCATTTACTATGTGAAGAAGTATGCTTAATTGTGACTGTTCAATAGATTTGAGCATTACTTACTATCTGCCTACCAAAGGAGAAGGGATGCAATGAATCATTGTCATCAATGCTCTCCTGATTAATGAATTATGAAATTCCAGGTTCTTCCTGGGGAAAGTGGGTGGGGATTTCAAAGGGATGTGTAAAATCATTCCAAATATGAACCTCCATGAAACTGTGTTTTGGCTATTTAAATTTAAGAAAACCCAGGCCACTTTCAAAGCAGAAAGCAGCCTCTTTCATACTTGGAACAGGTTTTTCTGCATTCAGACTACAAAATCTTGTGAAGTTTCATAATCATTTGTATTCCATAGATGCTGATTCTTGACGCTGTTCATGTGAAATGATTGGAAATATTTGTAGTTCGAGTGGTAGATGATGGTGGTGCTTTGTTTTCCAAGCTTGCTGTTTAGCTTTCAAACATTTCATCACCAGGCTAAGTGATACCCCCAGTGGAGCTTCAGTTGAAGCATCTTATTTCAGTTCTTCTCTGATTTTATTTATCTCATGTGGTCATGCGGTCAGTGGATCATGTGTCTGGCTGGCCATGCCATGTGACTGGTGTGTCATTATGTGTGAAAGTAATCAGGTGAAGAGGTAGTCAGCGCCGTTGGTTAGTCACTCAATTGATACTGCTCCTTATGGGTTCATAGGCTGGCTCCAAAGCTGACATGTTTGTTGATAGATTTTTTTAGTTAAATATCAGGCCTTGATGAATTTCTCTTTATGGTGTGTGATAGACAGAACAAGAATCATGGGCTATGCCACTACATGCCATGCACCCAAATTTATCAAAGCCTTGTATTCAACTAATGGATCTATCAACAAGCATGTCAACTAGGAACCCATAATAAGCCATATCAATCAAGCAACCAACCAGCCNCACAGCAATGAAAGAGGAAAACTTTAGCCTATAGATTACAGAGAATCGTAAAAAGAAGGTAGAAGAAAACTTAATCCATCCGTTTCAAAAGGCTTGCATAAATTCCATCCATGAAGATAGCATTTAAAAAGTAAGATAACCACTGTCCAAAACTATTTCAAATTTAATTCCACTGCTTGACTCTTCTATTTTTCAATTTAAATTAATTTTTAAGTTTTTATAGGCAGTCTCTTTTTAAAAGAGTAAAAGTTCCTCACCAGCTGGAAACACTTTCTCTTTCCATATCCTTCCGTTTTGGAGCCGCCCCGACTTCATCAGCCTTGGCTGGAGATTTGCCGCCGGCTTGAAGAACTTCTCTTGCTTCTTTCAGGGATTTTGTAATATTTCTGAGATCAGCAAGATGTATTCTTCCTGTTCACCATCTCTTCGGGACTGTTTAGGTCCATTTGGACCACCCAGTGGCAAAAGTATTGGCTGTGGTCTCAGAGCATCGAGACTGCACGACCATATTGTCGTGACCTTGGCTCCCTGGAAATCTACATTGAGATGCTCATGAAGTCATTGGTTCAATTGGTGATGGAGAGATTGCTTGAAGTGCCTGTAAAATTGCTATCCTAGCTTTGCCACCTATGTCCTAATTGGTTTGAGATCTTAGATCTGGACTGCCTTAGAGCTTTATTCAAATTAGCTAAAGTAGATTTATTGGGATTGGTCATTATTTCAACTCACCAACCACAGTTTCCACCCTGCTTTCCTGAAACCTTTATTGTAAGGTTTGTAATGGAACACAGGAACTACATTACATTAAACTACCCCATTGATCTGTTTCATTCTCAGAGGTTTCCGAGGGAGTGGATCTCCCCATGCATAGCAGGAGATGACAAGAATCGAATGTGTTTGTCCATGGACCTAATGAAAGTGAATTCACTCCCTATGAGCAACCTCAGATGGTGATAAAATTTCAATAAAGAAGGAATATTGAGTTTGTTCATGGTGATAATAGACATTGACAGGTCTTTATCTCTATATGGGGTTTCCTTGGTAAAACATTCAGGTCCTACTTGATCACTAAGTCAATGGAGAGGGAGAAGCAGAAAAAGACAACAATATAAACCACTGAATTTCCTCACACTCCTGCTATTCATTGATTTGATGGAGTCACCTTCAAAGGATAAAACATATCTGCTTTTGCAGTATAACCCGAGGGAAAAGTAAACTATGAAAGGCCTGATATTATCAACAAGCTTCCCAGATCTATAGATACTTTTCATATTTTATAGTACCATTCTCTGTTTTCCATCTTTGCTTCTAAATGTGTTCATTGTTCTTTATTAGGGAGCAGAACAAATGCTACAGGTGAAATAAGAAAGAAACATGAAAAAGCAGTCCTTCATTTCAATTCAATACCCTTTAAAGCCCAACACAATTTTGTTTTTCAAAATTATGCATTGGAGCAATTTAACCACAACCACAAGCAATTCAAATTTAAGATAAGATGAAATGAGATGAGATGAGAAGATAAAATAAGATAAGATATAACATTTATTGTCTCTTTCCTGTGTCCACATGACACACATTTAAACAAAATTTTGATGCAAATTCCAAATTCCATTGAAATTTACAATAAGCTTTGACATTTCTATTTTTAAAAAGTAACCTTGGCCAAAGGAAATTATGCAAAAAATGACATTTGAAGTCCTAGAAGAGGAGATGCTTTCTGTAATAACTCAATTTTATTTTCGGCATGCTTTTTCTAGTGTGTTTTACCCATATCCATTTCTATTAAACGTTGACTTTTCTTTTTGATATCTCAGAGTCATTCTATTATATGTTCATTTGTAGGACTAATAAAGAGAAGATTGGCTTCTTTTCAAATTTTGCTTAGGTAGATATTTAGGTTTATTTCTACGATTTCCATTTACCAATTTTTGTAAATCCATCTTCTTGTGAGTTTATATCTGCATTTGTGGCTAAACTCTTATCGATCAATTGCCAAATGTAACCCTCCGCTTGCTTGCTTCTACATATAGCAGAGATAGACAACTTGAGATCTTAACTCCGGCAGCACCCAAGATTACCAAAGGGCAGGATTTCCACACCACAAGTGTTCTGTTTTGTGGCTTTTATCCTGCAAAATGTAGGAAATTAATTCCGTTTTATAGAATGCAATTGATTCTTTCATTATTGTTGCTGATAGCTGCTGAAAAACCAAAGCTTTCTTCGATCAATAGACGTTGAAAATGGGAGAAACCATAGAACTGAAAAAAATTAACACAGCAGCAAAAACCCTTTAAATGAATATAGCTGCAGTCTCACTTGGCCTCTGGTTCTTAGTTGTACTATGAATGTGATCCCTGGTCAATTATCTCCATCTAAATAAATGTCTTTTCAGTCAGAAACATGGAATGTGTACAGTATATTTTTTTTAAATCTCTCTGAAACTTTATAAATGTATTTAGAATACAATAGCAGAGTTGGAAGGGACCTTGGAGATCTTCTAGTCCAACCCCCTGCCTAGGCAGGAAATCCTATACTGTTTCAGACAAATGGCTATCCAACATCTTCTTAAAAATTTCCAGTATTGTGGCATTCACAACTTCTAGAGGCAAGCTGTTCAACTGATTAATTGTTCTGACTGTCAGGAAATTTTTTCTCATTTCTAAGTTGCTTCTCTCCTTGATTAGTTTCCACCCATTGCTTCTTGTTCTACCCTCAGGTGCCTTGGGGAATAGTTTGACTCCCTCTTCTTTGTGGAAACCCATGAGATATTGGAACACTGCTATCATGTGTCCCCTAGTCCTTCTTTTCATTAAACTAGACATACCCAGTTCCTGCAACCATTCTTCATATGTTTTAGTCTCCAGNGCTCGCATGGGCAGGGTAGCATAGTGAGTGAGCGGGCGGGTGGGCTGGGGGGTGATCTCGCCTTTCCAGCACCACTTCCGGACTAGCCGTGAGAAATTTTGTATCTGTATTTTTTTTTTTGTATTTTATTTAACATTTATAGGCCGCCCTTTTCCCTGAGGGGACTCAGGGCGGCTTACAATAAACAAGGGAAGGGGATAAATAAACAAAACAACACTTTAAAATACACAAGCACAGATGTCCGAGGAGAACCTTGTTCAACCAAGAATGGGGTGCCTTGTTCGGATTTGACACAGCCTACCTATTAATCCAAGTTCCAAGATTGGTTGAAGACTTTGTGTTTCATAGTGACCTAACTAACCGTGGATTTGGATTTGCATAGATCTTTGGCCCATCGCTAACCTTTCCAAAGGCTGGGGGAAATCTTGTGTCCAGCTCAAATGCTTGTCCTAGCTACGTGTTACACCCAAGGTATGGTAGATGGTCCTTACAGGTCCGTTCAGCTGACTGAACATCTCCCCTCATTATTGTAAGCCGCCCTGAGTCCCCTCAGGGAAAAGGGCGGCCTATAAATGTTAAATAAAATACAAAAAAAAAAAATACAAATACAAAATTTCCCACGGCTTGTCCGGAAGTGGTGCTGGAAAGGCGAGCTCACTCCCCAGCCCACCCGCCCGCTCACTCACTATGCTACCCTGCCCATGCGAGCGGCAGAGGATGGGCGGGGGAGCAAGTCGAAGAAGGCGCCAAAATTAAGCGGGATTTTTTGGGAATGGCCTGGGACGCATGAAAAATTATGAAAAGTCGTGTCTGTCCCGCCAAATGCGGGACGTCTGGTCACCCTACATTAGTCTGAATTTTTAGGGCTAATATAGGACTAATATAAACACTAGTCTATAAAGACTTGAACACTTAAATTCCGCAGTACCATCCAACCTGCACAAGGAGATCAGTGGGGGAATTCTGCTTGATGTCATTCTGATTGGCTCACATTACTTTTTAGTAGTTTGTTTTATTGTGCATTATTTCCTCATGGAAATAACTGACTCCCTCACTGTCTTTTTATTTATTTTTTCAAAATATACCACTACTAGATTATCTTTTTGATTGTTCAAATTTCTGTCCTTGCCCCCTCCTCCTCTTTTCTTCCTCCTTCTATTCACAATGATCCTTGTTTTAATGTTTACTTTTTGATTTCTTTAAGATTGTTAGTTTTTTTAATGGCTCTATTGAAGAGTGTTTTAATGGCTATTTTAAAAAGTTTACACAGAACAATCTGGGAAACAATTTTGCTCTTTCAGATGAGACCTTCTAAACTGCTTTGAGCAATTCTGAAAAAGCAGTATATAACAAGATAATAAAGAAACAATAACTAAAATAAATAGAAGTCACACAATCAATCCGCTCCCTCAGCATTGTTATTGATCCGCAAGTTGGAGTTTAAAAAGTACTGCTTATCCAAAATTCATGGTGGAATTTAATGGGAATGACTGCCTAGTAGCTGTGTTTATCAATGCAAGTATATTTTTGTATCACTTATGATATTAGTTATATGGATTTATAGACAATGGTCTATAATGTCTGTTCTTTTAAGAATGGACACCTAATTTTCTCCAGGTTTCTCTTCTTTTGCTGTTATAGTTCTTTAACATAAACATTCATGATGCCCTGGAGTATCAATTTGGGAAGGCAATGGGGATTTAATATATAGGGTAGTTCAGCTCCAAACTGGGTATTGGCTCATTTAAGCAAGAGAACTTGGAACTAAGACAAATTGATCACCAGGTGTATGAATATTAAACAAACCCATCTGTCATAATCATGGCAAAACGTTCCATGCTGCACATTTTTTTTGAGTAACTTGCAGCATTTTATCATTGATATTTAAAGTTCTGAATGATCAATTAAAATCAATTGCACATAATGTTCTGCTTGCCTTCAGATGATCCCAGAGCAACTGAAGCATAATTTCTCAGTTGTTTCTGCTGTGTTCTTGTTCATTGTTTAATTTGAACTTTATCCTTGCAGCTTAGCAAAGGAGATAAGGGGACAAATAGCATAAGAAGCATAAATTGCATGAGAAATAGTGTGCTTTCAAAATAATGGTGAGGGCAGACCATAATTTTTCATTGGCTATATACTGCTAGAAAAAAAGGCATAGACAATGTTCTATACAATACATAGAAATAAAAAGCTATTCAAAATTGAGGACATACGGTTTATCTGTGAGTATTATAACACTGGAATGTAAATCTATAGGCAGTCACATATTAGTTTGCCTTATACATAGTTGCTAAAACCAGAGGCCGAACCAGTAGTGGAATTCAGGCCTGGGTTGCAGAACTGGCAGCAACCCAGGCCTGCCACGCCCCCAAACCAGTTCACTCACCGCCACCACCATTTTGGTTTTTAGTGACTGTGTTTGCGCAATTCACTGTAAATTGTTCTATGCATGCACAAAGAACAATTTACACTGAACAATGCACATGCACACACATGTGTGTGTTGCATGTGTGTTGCGAACCACTAGTAAAATCGGCAGCAACCCATCCCTGTGCTAAACTCCAGTACTGTTACACTAATCAGTAATTGTCAATCATTATGTACCTACAATGGCTTCAGCTTTCCTTGAGGCAAATGAGGCTGCTTGAAACTTGTTTATTGGCTCATAATGACTAGTGGATGCAACTAAGCTGAGTGTAAAAGGCCTACATTTAGGTTTCATTTCTGCATCAAGGCCAGGATCATAAACAGGAAGTAATGAGATAAGTTGAAGGGTGAGCAATAGAACCATATTGAAAAATGCTTATGGACTATTATCTATTAATTAATTTATTTAAATGAGCCATGGTGGCACAGTGGTTAGAGTGCAGTACTGCAGACTACTTCTGCTGTCTGCCAGCTGTTTGCAATTTAGCAGTTCAAACTTCACTAGGCTCAAGAGTGACACAGCCTTCCATCCTTTTGAGGTGAGTAAAATGAGGACTCAAGCTGTTGGGGGCAATATGCTTACTCTTTAAAACTATTAGTAAAGTGGTATATAAGTCTGATATTGCTATTCCTATAATCTTTTTTTCCAGAATAAAAGATACAACATCAGTGATCAAAAAACTCCATGAACAGATCAATCTTAAGCTGACATTAAAAGTTGACAAAACTATGCACTAGTCATAGTTCCACACGAAAGATATTGCTTGTATTCCAAAATCAAAATCTTTACTGTACAGAATTAAACACTTTCCCAGAAAGTGTTATTAATTCTGTCCAAAGATTGTGTCCAAATATTCGCCCTATTCAGATTGACTGAGTGCTAATTGATTTGATGAGTTTTCAAAGAAAACTTGTACAAAATGTTGGACATGGCACATGTCATGGAAAAATTAGCAAAGGTGTTCAAAGATAAATCAGCAAAATGTTGGAAGTGTCAACAAGCAATAGGTTCCTATTATCATATGTGGTGGACATGTACAGAAGCAAGGAAATATTGGACTAAGATAAGAGTATGNCTCATCCATGGAATTCTTCCCAAGCTCTCTCTAAGTTTATTTAAATTAGCTCTCTTAAAGTCCAAGACTGGGATGAAATGCTAAGCTCAGTCCTTGTGTGGACCCAATGGCTCTCAGGAATTCTCTCCAGAACGTGGCAGTGAACTGAACTCTGTGGTCTGAAATGATCCTCTTGGGTACCCCTTGCCGATGATAAATGTGTTTCACAAACATTTTCGTGAATTTCTTTGTGGATGGCAAACCTGAGCAAGCTATGAAATGCATCTGCTTGGAAAACAAATTGATAACTGTCCAGATTACTCTATTCCCACTGCTGTCTGGGAGCTCGACGGTGAAGTCCATCGCAATCTCTTCCCATGGCTGGTTAGGGCTGGCCACTCATTGTAGTAGTCCAGGGGGCTTCTCTGGCTGTGATTGCATAATTGCGCAAGAAGCACAACTTTTTATGTAATCTTCCACCTCTGATTTCATCTTTGGCCACCAAAATTGACGCCTGGTGAGGTGGAGCATTTTTAGGAATCCAAAGTGTCCTCCTAGTTTTGCATCATGGCTTCACTGTAGAACTTCCAGGCTCAGCCCCGCAGGGACGTACAGTTTGGACCCCTTCCAGGCTAAGCCATCGTTCATTGTTAGAATGTCCTTGTTATTGTTGAACCACAGGTCTGCCAGGAGTGCCGATTTCAGTGCTGTTGTCAGCTTATCCTGGCTTCGGGTAGTGACCTGGGCCACCTTTTGATAGGAGGAAGAGATGATGGGGTGAACAACTTCCTTCTTACTGTTGTACTGTGGTTTTCTCAACAAAGCATCCGCCAACAAGTTCTTCCCTGCAGGGATGTATTTAAGTTAGAATTTGAACCTATGGAAGTATTGTGCCCAGTGAACTTGTTTGGGGGATAATCTTCAAAGGGCTTTGAGAGCTTCGAGGTTTTTGTGATCAGTCCAGGCCTTGAACGGCATATCCCTCCCTCCAGAAGATGTCTCCATGTAAGCATCCTCCACCTGATTGCAAACACTTCTTTCTCCCAAATGGCTCACCTCCTTTCAGCAGTGGTGAGTTTCTTGGAGATGTAAGTGCACGGCAAGAGGTGGCCTTCTTTATTCTTTTGCAGTAGTACTGCAGCTATTGCTACACCACTGGCATCCATCTGGATTATGAATGGTCACTCCGGTTTGGGATGTTACAGTATGGGCTCTTGGGCAAAGAGACATTTTAATTTCTCAAAGGATTTTTGACAGTCCATTGTCCACTTTAGGGGTTTGTTTGTTTTTGGCTTTGTTGGGGAAGGCCCTGTTTTTAATAGCTCAGTCAATGGGAGGGAAATGTCTGCAAAAGTCAGAATGAACTCCCTATAGAAATTGGCCAATCCAAGGAAGCTTTATAGTTGTCTGCGAGTACATGGAAGTTTCCAGTCTAACATAGCTTTCACTTTTCCTGGATCCATTTCTATCCCCTCGTTGGAGATGTGATAATCCAAGTAATCTAGTGAGATCTTGTGGAACTCACACTTCAACAACTTTGTGTATAGTTTGGTGGCCAGAAATTTTTCACGACTTGCAGTACCAACTTCACGTGTTCTTCCAGGGTCTCAGAGAAGATCAAGATGTCATTGAGATAAACTAGTACTCCACGGTACAGGTGCTCATGTAGCACCTCATTTATGTACTGCATGAAGACTGTGGTTGCTCCTTGTAGCCCAAAAGGCATGACTTTATATTGGAAGCTGCCAAGGGGGGTGTTAAAAGCAATCTTCCATTCATCTCTATCTCTGATTTGTATGTGGTAATACACCTCTCTCAAGTCTAGCTTGGTGAAGATCTTGCCTTTTGCCAAATGGGGCAGGGCTATCTGCCAGAACAAATGGCTGCTTGAATGGAGAGCTCCATGAAGA